TATAGATCACATTCTTGCTCAGATAATCCTAACCAGTTTTCAATTTTGTTAATGCGGACCATATTTGGTTGTTCCCTACACCAATTTCTAAATGTACAAATTCCTTAATAATATTTTCATTAAAATTCTTATAAACAAACCAACTGAAAGTCATTCTTTCATGGTTCTTCAGAGAGTACATTCAGTACAGCTTAGCATGCATGCATACATACTTACATCAAAATATAAATCTCTCTACAAGTACGGAGAATGAAACAGATTATTTTGAGTATACACTATTGAATAATACATAAAGAAGTGCTAAGAGATATTGGATTAATCTGCATGGCAGAAGCAAAGTATATACTTATCGCAAGTTGGCTAGGGAAGCACAAAGACTTATCTAATCCTACCCACTGATAAATGGTATAATATTGAGGTAAACAGAAGTATCATTTCTCACAAGAGTTCTTTCCTTGCACCACATATACATTACTTTGTCTGAATATACTCTCTAAATTCTTTCACACACAATATTGTGTGATCTCTTATTTAAATAGGTACCATTAACATCTGCCACAGAAACTACTTTAAAATGAAAACATTCACTCTCTGAGATCAATCTAATATTTGTGGTCTATACACACCGAGTGTGTATGAAGCACTCCTCGACTTATGCAGAAAATGCTGCTTTGGAAAAAAATAACAACAATAATAACAATAAAATAAAACAGTTTTGTAAATAAGCACATTTCCAAGCATGATTTTTATCCTCAACACCTAATACAGCAGTTTCACGCTTTCATGATTTCTCCAAGCAGTGTTTCAAATCAATCTCTACCAGTCCATAGTACTCTCAAAGCAAAACTATACAAATCATATCTTAATAATGGAGTACCAACTTTCAAATAAACATGATACTATTCTATTTCTTCAATTTTGCAACATTCAGTTACAAAACATCCCACATTCCTATGTCTACAGTTGTCAATAGCTGCACCATAATAATCATAATAAAAATTTATTGTAGATGCCATGTACCTTCCGTTCATTTTCCCAGGATTAACATTATATACGTAAGTGTACAGTTCCACAGTATATTAGCTGCAATTATTGGTGAATTAATGTTTTGACAGAACTACTTTTTAATAAACCAATGATTTCTCTTTGCTTGCTGTGACAGTAATTTTTGAAGTATAAATTAATCAAATTAAATAATAATTGGGTGTAGAATTAAAATCCTTTCTTCTATGAGAAGTAAAAGGAAAATGAACATAAAAAATCGTTCTCAATTAATCGTAAAAGTTCAAGGATTTTAGTAGATCAAATGTTTATTACTGTTAATATATACGCTTAACATCAGTAATGCTATCTTTCAATAAGAACATATTATTTTTTTGAAGAAAATGTAGGGTTTAATCAAAAGGTATCGATTACACTGTAAAGATTTCTTATCTTTCTCCAGAAAATTTGTACATTTTAATCTTATTTGCACATTCCCTTACACTAGTGAAAAACAAATCTTTCAAATACAGATGTTGCCTGTACTAGCTATTACACAAAATCATTTAAATGTAAAAATTCCCTAGAAGAAATATATGGAATGTCCAACAAAAAGCAAAATAAAGCATTAGTTAAGGTGATAAAAAATTAGCATGTAAGGAGCAAATAAATAGGAAGATGAACAATTTATTTTTGTTACAATAAATGGAGGTAAAGTTATTTTTCATCAGATATTTCAAATCCTAATAGCATTTTTGCAACTCTTATATAAAGCACTTTTAGAAACTTATTAATTACACCATTAACAGAACAATATCAAAGCTCTATTAGAGGTTTTTGGGTTACATTTGCAAAGAGAAAACACTTAAATTTAATTTCAAGTAGAAACTGAAGTTTCTCAGCTTTAAAGGTATGTGGCATGTCATATTTATTTTAAATATAATGAATATTTTATATTTATATCCCCCAAACCAGTAAGAAAAAAATAGAACTCGATGCCTGTCATACATTTGTAGTCACCCATTTTTCAGAAATCAAAAGGTTGTTACTTTGTTCGAAAAGAAATTTCACGCAAACTGCTTTCCGCAATCTGAATACCCACATTTCCTATGGAACCTTTAATGTTTTCTCCCAAGTCACTATTCTTTTCAAATGTTTGTAAGGTAATAAAAAAACTTACATTGGAATTACTATTTACGAATTACAACCTCCAGCAAATTTTCTTGTATTACAAGGAACTGTTCAATTATACAAATCTTATCACTCTGAAGAGCACAAAATACTAATTAGAAATTACTGTATGTATGCTTGTATCTCTTGCAACTTTCAAAATAATTCAGACATTACTGTAAATTGAAAAAATAAGTTTAAAATAATTTGAATCAAGAAATGAATTAAATACATGGCAATGAGCTAGTATGTCTGACTTCCTCAAGATATTGAGTATTGTTGCAAAAGTGAAAGCTAAAACACATTTGGTACTGTAACCTCCATGACAAATGAATGAATTTTGAAAAATGAATTTTCTAAAGATAATTTGTATGCCAAGCAAAGATAATAATAACCATCATTACAATAATTATCATCATTGTAACAGAATTTTGTTTTATAAACTCGTAATATACGGAACTTTATCACATTGCTTTACATAAAACACAATATCTCAATAAGGTGTCATAAAATTCACAGATTTTGTCACACTCCATCATAATCAGTTTCTGATTGGTGTAGAGTTATAGCAAAACAAAATGTTTATGAATTTTATTCTTGAAATTGATACACTCATCTCATTGCTACATTATAATTTTTAGTTCTTTCATTTTACTATCAGTTGTTTTTTTTTTATTAAGAGAAGGCTCAGAAAAGAGATTTAAGCAATGACATCCTTCAAAACCCTAAATATTTATTTCTCTTTAATCCTGTCTATTTTGATATAGGATTAACTGTTAGCTTTGAAATAAATATCTTTTAATTCTTAGTTTTCATGAGATGAGCAAAATTGAGACCAATAAATGAGATAAATAAATAATTATAATATTTGATTTTAATATTGTAACAATGAATGCAAAATTTAAACATTTCAAAAGTATTTGTAAATCTAATGTTTTTGTTCTGATTCCCAGACAGATAACAACAAATCACTGGAAGAAAGTGCACTTAACTGTAAGTCTTGTCTTCTATTCGAACTTTTAGTGTATGTTTAATAAAGAATAGTGGAATTTGAAGTAGAAGAATAAACCATAAACTCCGTCTTCCAATTAAGCTAAATCTTTAGGAAATAGATGTCGACTGCATCACAACCAGCTATACCAAAATAATCAATGAATCACAGTCATTATCACGAAGGGCGATTTTTCATGGTGCAACTTTACAGTATAGATATACGTGAATGGGAAGTACTTTCAGTATAAATGGAAACCTATTTTTCCTATTTTTATCCTTACAAATTTGCCTCCAGACAAGCCTGCTAAAACAGTTCCTCACAAGGTACAGTGTCGATCATTCAATACATAACAGCACCACAAAAACTACTACTGAACATGTTTTATACAAATTGTAGCTTAATTAAAAGTCATATTCAATACTTCAACAATATAAAAATGTAAGTAACAACAATAATAATAATAATAACAACAACAACAACAACAACATGCAAGTCGAGTCTTGGTGCCCAGTTTACATTTTCATGCAAAAAGAAAAGAAGGGTCTCATATCAGAAACAACAAATATGATTCATTGTTTAGTGACAGTACATTCATGCTTAAGTCCAATATGTAAATTACATTGTATTTAATTAAAATACAAGTCATCCATATACTCTAGCGAACAAAATTCTGATTTTTGTTCCTAACTTTAGATTACAATGTGAGGGCAATGGGCTCGAAAACAAGGTCCTAGAATGCACCATCTTTGAGTTATGCATGATCAATATGTTAAGAAAAGAGATTAAGTGGGTGATGTGTTACAAACTGCATTTGCCCAAGCTTCATTCAGATGCAATTTTTCACCAAATCCTGAAGATTCATATACCTCAAGTTATATCCAAAAGAGTCATATACCGCAAAAATAATAATGATAATTCAAAACACTCGAGATATAGAGTGAAAGCTTAATTCATGTTGGGTACATAAATAACATTGACGTATCCGTAATATATTAATAGAGATATGATTTTTTTTAAATCAATTTGCTGGGAGCTTATTTTCAATTATAAAAACATGGGTCATCATATATTCAAGTCGCCTTATATTTGGGTAAATATGGTACATTTTGTCAAGAAAATTTAAAACTTAGACATGTTATAGAAGACAGAGATTGAGAAATTAGTTTTGTATTAGAAACAAAGCTATTTCAGAGCAAATTTGTGATTATTTATTACAGCAAAAAGTCCTTTAAGAGAACAAATATTACTGCCAAACTGTCTCGTAACTGCACATCGTAGCAAAAAACAGTTAACAAGAAATGTAATTTTATGACACATGAATATTGATGGCATGTCAATTTTTCCTCCTATTCAAAATACCTAAGGATATTTACAAGATTTGTTTTAATATAAGGTGATGTCAACATTAAACAGTTTTCAATTCACTGATAAAGTAAAATGGTTAAACATCATAACAAAAACAATAACACAAAACTTCCATAAAAGATGTGTTTAACATTAAAGCAATTCTGAACATAAAAGGACATATGAAACCCAAGGATAATTATTTGGAATACATAATATACAAGCAAAGAATTGAAAAATAAAAGCTGGAGCACCTTCCTTAATTATCAAATATTAATAAAAATTCTTTCATATTCTTTTTATATAATGGGAAGCGAATATATTTCATTGTCATGTTTCTTAGATAACTTTTGATGGATTTCAAATCACACTAAACTATCATACAAGCATCTTGAAAACACTACCATTGCAATTTATATAAATCTTTTCAAATTCTAAAATGACAAAACCCAAAGGGTAAAAATATTGAAATAATTTTAAGTAGTAAATTAATTGATAAGAACGAATTAATTGAATTAAATTCCTAAAAAATTTCATGCTGAGCGTATATAAACAAAAATTTAATATTTGAAATCAAGAATTCAGATCCCAAACCCTTTATGTGTTTGTAATTCTCCAATTGAATCAAGTGGTTGTTAACCTGAGACAATCACTGTGATGGTCTGTAGAGGTCGTGGTACAACCACAGATGTTTGTTATTTTACTAAGATTCATTCGCAGAAGACATAACACAACATTTTTCTACGTTTCTCCAAGGAAAATGTAATATTGTATCAATTCAGAATCAAATCTGAAATTATGCAAACAATGAAGAGTGTTAGCCACACATTGGGAAAGATATAAGCAACACAAATTAAGAGTAGTTATTAAAAGAATGACAGGGAACTTTTTGCTGCACTATTTATAATTCATAGACTGTTAATTCTCTCACAATCTTGAAAGGGAAAGTACTTACACCATGAATCTCCTTCACTTATTAAAGAAGAAAGAGAGAAGATGGGGAAGGACAAAGAGACAGAGCTGCTTAACTTTTCTAGCCCATGGGAGGGGCAGTCATGACAACTAATGTAATATCTGTACAAGTAAAGCTGCCTGAAAACAGATGTGTGTGAAATTATATGACTAGTTCACCTTTGTGGGGCTTGCTGGGTAACAACAAGAGCCCCTCTTTTGTATCCTTCCAGCACATTTACTGCTATGAAGATAATTAAACAAAACTGAATATAGTTGCAAGATGTCCGGGAATCTAGGTAGTTCTTTTATTCACATTTTAGTGAACAAACACCAGAACTCCAATATTAATTTCAAAATTATCAAGAACTACAATAAGCTTTGTGGTGCCAAAATCCTCCTGATAGCTTTTGAAGAAACATTTCTATTATAGAATGAAGCTGCTCATCAGTCAGCTAGTCTCTAGCTAGATGTCTGGGAATCAAATATGAATAGGGACAAATATATTTTTTCTTATCTATTCTCTGGAATGTTACTCCCACCCACAAAATCTGCTTGTCCAAAGCACAACGTGCCATAGCAATTTTATGTACTGAGATCTACCCTGTGACTGTGTAATCTTTCCTTCTACTTATTATGCTCAATTACACTGTAAATATATAATTTGAATTTACTGTTAATTTTCATTGTTTGCTCTACATTGTTTTATTATAAACACATGATGTTCAGAATTTTGGAGAATTAAAAAGTAGTAATGCAATAAAATAATATCTGCAATATTCACTTCTGTAAAACTTTTCCCATTAATAATTAAATATTAATAGAAGCTTTTGAACATGTCATTTTTCAGATGTCGTAAGACAAAACTTACTTCACACACACATAATAGTACATAAAATCCCGTCTTTTTACACATAGAAAAATATTATCATCATAAGAGAGCTCCCAAATAATTTAATTATTTTAAAAAGTTAGGACTGGATATACATGATCTTTACAAAATTTTATACAACACACTCACATCACCTACATTATCAGACCACTTTAAAGGTAGAACCTTCAATTTCTGAAGAGTTTGCACAGTGTCCTCTCTCTTAAATGATTCACAGACTAAAAGTTTATACATCAGAGTTTATACTTGAACTCTGATGCATGAAATTGCCAATTATTCACATTTAATACCCAAGAATAACCTCTCATTACCAGGTAGATATGCTCACTAAAAAGATGCAACATATATGATGATGAGGAGATGAAAAAGAAGAAAGAAAAAAAGAAAAAGAGAAGTGTTGGGATCAACCGACAACGCTGTTTTCACTTCCCCTTCCAAGCATAGAGAACTTCTGTTGTGTTAAGATCTCACAAGGCACACTATTAAGAAAGCTTAGTAACAATATAGGAAGTGTTTTGTCATCCTCATTTCTTCCAATCGAGGATTTGGACTTGGAATTCAAATATTCGTACTCAAGAAATACCATAATTTCCAAGGCAGCAGTTTCCAAAAAGTCACTCCATATAAAAAACACACTTACCATTTAAGGTCAAAATCAGCAAATTTTGTATCAAAACAATGATCCTAACACCATGCAAACAGGCAATATAGCTTTGATTCCTGACATTTTATGGTGTAATGTGTTCTCCAAAAATGATACATCAAATGGCAAAACATTTCGTATAAGTTACTGCATTCTGTGCTAACATTTTTCAATGCATTTTCAAGTCAATGCAATTCAGGTGGATGCATGCAATGCATCCATAGCAACAAATGTGAAATGTTACAGAAAATTATTCATTACTCAGCTTCTTGAAGAATACTGATTTTACATTTATGAAATTTAAAAGGCCTACAAGAGGAAAATTCAAGAAAAGATTAAATACTAATAAAGTTATATCAAACTGGCCCACTTTCCATCAATATTGTTACAGGGACAAACTCATTTTCCTCAAGCTAACAAAATATTTAAGTCACAAGCACCCACACACAGCTGAATATGTAGACTAATAACTTGATTGCACATTTTAAGATTCTGTAGCCTCAGCACTTCACATTTCATAATACACAAGCTATGCACAGAATACAGTACTGTAAATTTTATAAGCTTGCTTTCACAGTTAAAGCTTATTTGTGAAAATTGTAAAAAAATTCACCATTTTATAAAGATTTGTATCACAGTAAGTAGCTGGATGGTGAATATTCGTTGAAGTATATACAGATATATCTGATCAAATATGTCTGTTTCACAAACATCAATAACTGCACGGATCACAGATGAAATCTGACACTTGCTGTCATGTGAATTTAAGAAAATCAAATATCATTCTGAATCTTTGAAATAAAAATAATATTATAAAGTTAAAGTAAAATTAGTGCAAAATTGTTGGTGTTTTTAATATTTGTACTATATGTGAAGGCTTATTTAGGCACAGTTGCCACCAGAAACAAATGTTGCACAGAATTATATCAATGAAGAACTGTGCATACTGTTGTACCTTTAAATATTTCCAAATTATAAGCAATTAAACAGAAACTTTCATAATTGTGTCATCAGAAAGATTGAACTTTTATCCAACAATAAATTAATAACAATTCTTGCCAAAATTGCTATTCATTGAAAATGGCAAGTGCCAGATCTTTTTTCTCTGTCCAATATATTGACTAAGTGTCATTAACAGAGGATTCCACTTCAGTGAGCTGTGAAAATCCTTCACAATCTTGAAGATCAAGAGTATCAAGGGTCAATGACTCTTCTAACAAGGAGTTCATGTTCCTCCTAGGAACATAACTGCTTGTGTCATCTGACAGCCGTGTATTGAGTGCATTCAGGGTTAACATTGGATCTCTATCCACAATACTTTGGAATGGGGTTGTCTCATCATCTAAAATGGAAAGAAGGGGTGTTGGTGGTAAAGACCTGGAGCCAAGGACAGTAGGGCTGTTTTCCAAGGTTTCTGATGTTGCACTGAAAGAAGTAACCAAAGGATCCCTTATGCTTGCACATTTATATGGAACTGGCGTATTGGGATATGAGCGTGAAGATTGAACAATAGGTCGCATCTGCCCAGGCAGGTCCAGGAAATCTCCACTCACATTATCAGCTGCTACTAAGTCTAATGTAAGGCCAATTTCATGGTGCTGCTCTTGATGTTGCTGCTGCTGCTGTTGATGTCGCTGCTGCTGCTGTTGTGGTGGTGGTAGTGGTGGTGGTGGTGGTGGATGGTGGTGGTGCTGCTGCTGCTGTTGAAGGTTGTGATGATGTTGCTGATGCTGTCTTAATTGCACCGGTTCTTGTTCTGGACAGTGAGACTGGTGTAGCCGTGTTTCTTGGTGTTGCTGCATTTGTTGAAGGTCTTGAGACTGATGAATTCCTTGGTGTTGGAGTTCTTGTTGTTGATGAATCCCTGGGTGTTGATGAAGTTCTTGGTGTTGTTGCATATTATGTTGCTGTTGTTGTTGATTTTGTTGCTCCTGTTGCCTTTGTTGCTTTTGTTGTTCTTCTTGCTTTTGCTGTTCTTGAGCATCATCTAATATATTGAAGATTCTATCCAAATTTTCGGAATTTAGTCCTGTTTCAGGATCAGCACCATCGATAATTAAATTAGTGGTAGGCCCTCCTGTAGAACCATCAGCAATGCTTGTGAAATCCATACATTCACTTGGAACTGGGGTGGGAGCAACCGAACTTGCCGCTGACAAACTAAAATTGTTCAAATGGAAATTTGTGTCTACAGACTGGGGCATGGCATAATGGGGAGATATCAAATCACTTGTAGACAACATGCGATGCAATGGTACAGATTGAGATCTGTACTGGAACTGTTGCTGCTGCTGTTGTTGCTGTTGCTGCTGTTGTTGCTGCTGTTGTTGTTGTTGTTGTTGTTGCTGCTGTTGAACACTTCTCTGTGTTCTCTCTACATCATCAGGGAAGAATTGACTCACTTCATGTGCCAAGGGATCAGGTGTGGGAACAGGCATTTGTTGTGGATGGTGCTGATGCGGGGGCACTTGTAAATTTGCACTTGTATCTGAGAAGAAATTGGAATCCATATTATCAGTGCACTGAGGAACAACCTTTGTATGATTCATCATATCACTGAGTAAAAAGTCTGAGTTCACATACTCCGATGGTTCTTCTACAACACAATTTCTTGCTGCAGGCATGAGATTATTGGGAATCATCGGTGACTGTGGAGCAGATGAAGACATTGGAGATGCAGTGGAGTGTGGCAAGGAAAGCTGCATTTCTCCATGTATGGAATCAAGCACTCTAGCTGAATCAAGAGTATGTGAGAAATTAAGAGAGAAATCAGGTTGAGAGGAACCATCACATGAATTCTGTAATAATGGAGCAGTTGTTGATAGTGGTCTGGGTCGCATTGGCTGGAACTGATTACGAGATAGTCCACTACTCACAGAGTTCGAACGAACAACTTTATTGGCAGGTACTCTTGTTCGGGCTCCTAACTGATTATTCAATTGAACAGGAGGAAATGAAGAAATATGTCTATTTCTGGGAACCGGAGTGTTCCTTGGTGAAACAAACGGACTTGCATTAGCACTAGATGGTTTAGAAGATGGCGCTGAAGGCCTTTGACCTAGAGGAGAATGAGGTCCCGCTGAAATGGGGGTGAAATTGAAAAATTTACGCCGTGTGTTAGGACTAGGTGGCACTGTGTTTTGGAAACCATTGTCATTGTGGTAATGTTCAGTAACAGATGTTTCAAAACTCACTCGGCGGCGAACACTTAAACTTGAACCACTGTGATTACTTGCTAAAAGAGAGGGGAGTAAACTAGGTTTCTGAGGCATGTTTGGAAGTGGTTGAGGTGGTTGAGACTGCTTCTTTTGCTGGCTTCGCTGTGATAAGAGAGACAAGCTTGCAGAAGCAGATGCACCAGGTGGAAGCGTCATAACTGGACCAGACAGAAACACATCATCATTGGCAATAGGATCTTCAACCAGAGGTGGCCCTGTAGATACAGCTGGACAGTCTGAGCCAGGTGGTCTCCGCACATTGAGACCAGTTGGAGCAGTAGCATTGCTCAGGTTACGTTCCAGAAGAATTCTCAGCTGAGAGAGCTGATCTGACTTGGTGGGATCTGCTGTGGCACTTCTCCTTGGCATAAGTGCTTCATCTAACTCTTCATTGCTTGAGGAGCTGGTCTGATGTTGAAAGTACCTCATGAGTTCTTCTTCCTGTTCTTGTGAATTGTGCCCACCATGAAAATAATCACTCAAAGGATCATTCTCAAGTTTAACATCACTTTCTGCAACTTGTTGCGCTACTTCTCCCTCCAGTTTCACAGTGGTGGCAACGCATACTTCAGCATTTATAGGGCCATCATCTGAAACAAGCTCTCTGTGTTCTTTGTCTTGAACTTCAGGAAATTCTTTGGGCTTTAGACCTAAATTTTCTGGTTTTGGCTGAATTGGTTTATAAAACTTTTTCCGAAGAACAAGAGAGAGTTTTTGATGTGGCATTGCAATTAAATCTGGTTTTGAAGCAGCTAAGACTGGTTTAGAATAGTTTGGCTTAGCATTACTATTCACTATACGTGGAATAGGAAGTTTATCAGGAACACTGCCTGAAGAAGGGAGAGTAACACCAAATTGTGCAGGAGGCTGCACTGGCACAAATGCATCATCCAGGGCCCCTCTCGGCTCCCTGACAAGATCAGTACTTGTCACTGGAACAGAAGCTGTCATCACTTGACGGAGTGCAATTGTGTCAGAGGTAGTTGCAATGCTGTCTACCGATGCGGACTTGCCTCTACGTCCCAAAGCACCCAGTTTGCCAACAGTTCCATCTTCTGACCTTACAGGATCCCAAGGTGAAGCAGAGGCTCCTAATGATACGGTAGAATTGGTAGAGGTTGAAGTTCCAGGCATCAGTGCTAAAGTAGAAGCTATTCTGCGATCCTTCAAATGACCTAGTTTGGCACGTTTTGATGGCTTCAGCTTCTCAAATGCTGACCCTTTCGATAAAGCAGCAGACTGCTGTTGTTGCTGATCCTGAAATAATAATAAAAAAACATTAAATAAAATTCAACCATGTAAATAAATTACTCTTAAGACACAATTATTTTTATGTTATCAAACACAAAATCTCTAGTTACTCCAATGCTATCAAGTTCTAATATTCACTTAAATCAAACAAAATTATGAATAAAATACAGTAAAAATATGCATATGATGTCCATCTACCTTTAGTACATTGGCATTTTAAGAGGAACAAAATACACCAACTACCAACATTTTTGGCAGTCATCAATGTCATAAAGTAAAGGCTCACAAATGGTAGTTGCCATTAATGACTTATCTTCATAATCAATAAAAAATTTAAAAAATAAAAGCAAATTCAGCCACTGCATGAGAAATTCTGCAGCACAGGAGATAAAAGTTTTTAAAACAGAAACTAACTACACCATCTATGACCTTATTACATAATTTATACAGGGTTTTAGGGGTGGAACTGACTATATACAACCTAATTGAAATAAGAACTGACCTTATATACTGTACTTGAGCTTTCTTTGCATCTTGCACAAGAATGCAGGAGTGTATTAAAAAAAATTGAAGCAATGTAAAATGGAGGAAATGTGCAGGAAGTTCACTTAAAAGAAAAGTAAAAGAAAAAGAACCAGAAATTATACTGTTCAAACCAACAAATCCAGAAAGCATATGAATTAGAAAAATGAATTCTGAATGGATTAAACAAGGGAATATCAATTCTATAACAACTAACAAATTTAGCAAAGCAAAATTATTAATGTTAAAAAAGGGTACAGAAAATACCCTATAGCAGTAGCTTCAGAGGTGGCCAATTAACCCAAATGCCGATTACATTCACTCCACGTTGCACTCTCTTTGTTGTTTTTCCCATGCGTGTAGGGCCATTGTTGGAGCTATCAGGGAGTATGAGTTATGTTGCTAAATTATACTACTAGAGCCAATCATTGGTGCCATGAGAATTTTTTTTCTATAAGAAGTAACAAAACAGTTTAAACTTAACTGCATATACTCAGTCAAATTTTGCCCAAAGTTTTTCTTTGTTTAAATCAAGTTTTTTGTTTTAATATTTTTTGAATACCTGAATTTTTAGATTTGTATTTAAATACTATAAATTTTCCTGAAATTAATGGCATATTATAGTCATGTTTGCATTTAGTAAAATAATTCTCAAAACCGAATTTAATATTTACATTAACAAAAAAAACTTTTTATTTCAGTAAACATAAAATAACACTAACATAAGTAGGTAAGTAAAATACTATAAACATTTTGTGAAATATGAAAAATTTTGTAGAGGTCACAAAAGACACCTCTGAAAATCTATCATTTTTGTCACACGTCAAAGTTCTGACATAAAAATAAAAGTAAATAAAATTGATGAAGTAATAAAATATAATTTGGTACCCAAAGATTAAATGAACAACAAAAATTTTAAAGGAATGATCAAATCAATACATTAAATATTATGAGTTAATGCCTCTGAAATGCAGCAAGTCTGCATAGGAAGAATAAAAGAAAGATATTATATTTTACAGTTACTCTTTTTCAACATTACTCACAGTCATTGTTGTAGAATTTAATAATAAAATAGAAAGTTTTGATGCCTTTTCTTTCCTAAATCTTTGGTATAATTTTTACTGCACTAAAACAAAAGAAGAAAAACCTTGCTTCCCAGATGCACAAGGAGCTAAATCAATTATATATTTAAAAATTTAATTGAGGATCTTAGTTCAATTTATTTATACTACTCTGCTGACTTTTCCACCTTGCACAAATGCAATTGAATTGAATTGAATTGAATTAATGCCTTATTTTACGTGGCGAGACTCGGGCCATCAGACACACTCTTCTGTCTGACCACACAAAGTTCGCTACGCTCCTTTCACCAACTAGCAGAGAAAGAAGGTATTTCTTGGGCGTGAAACAGGAGATTAGAATTTTGCTCAGAGGCGTCATTTAGGCTTGAGGATTTTTTACATGCAAGTAAATCTACTGACATGATCAGCCAGCTTTACTTCCCCTCTGAAGGCGCATGAAGGATTATTTTGCCCTTAAAAATCCACGGCTTCAATCAGGTTTGAACCCGCCAACTTGGGTATAACAGTCCGATACACTAACCGTTACACCATCGCCGCGTGCAATGGAAACTTGGCTTGTGCCATTTTTCTCTAACTGAACTAATTAAGCAGCTACCTCTATTAACTTTAGAACAATCTTTGAAATAGATTAGACTCTTCAATCGCTAGACCTTGGTACTACAGGAGATGTGCTAGCATTCTCCTCATGCAATTGTGCACCATCAAAAGCTGATTGGGGCAATTTCTCTACGCTTGCCATGCTAGCTAAGCAAGCTCAGTTTCTGTGCATGGTAAGCAGTGATTGGTCATGCATAAGGTGGGAGGAAAGAGACCTGCAGGTGCATAAAATTTTAGCAGTTTCTATGCTCACCAAGAAGCTCAAAGGAGAACATAAACATGTGTGTTGTGCAATAACTTGCAGTTTACATCCCTTAAATGTTATTTCACATATACATTATTGTAGTTTTGAGTTATAAAATAATAGTTAATTTTGCCAACACACTCGACCACAAATCAAAAGAAACATTCATACAAGTTAACACTAAGAAATATACATCCTATGTAGTGAAAATACTAGGTTAGCCAAAAGAAAATGTCCCTGCATTTGATTAATAATAAAAATGTTGGTAGAGTCAGGAAATTCAGCACTTCATTACACACAATTCTACAACTACAAACAATATCATGCACAATTTACTCAGACACAGAGCTAGCAGCCAATTTCCTATTTGTTCTCTGGATGACTCATTTCAGACACTGCACAGCCAAGTTGAGGGGATGTGGTGTGTTATCTCACCTGCATTTTGCGCTTTTGTTCTCGAATCATTTCCCGCTCCTTGAGCTTACGCTGGAGCTGCATCTGGGTTTCCAAATGTTTGTTGGTACCTCCAGAAGGAGCTGAGGGCAAGCCCAAAGGAGAGGTGGATTCTGCAAGAAATGCAGTTAACAGAATATGACAATCAATATTTAATAGAGAAAAAATATTACAATACTCCTGTAAGGAGAAGTATTTAAGACTTTAATTACAATTTCCAATGTTTCTATGCCTCCAGTAGTAGGGAAATGTTATCCTCCAAATGACTGCATTTTATTAAGGAAATATACAAAATAGAAAATGATAGTCTTGGCTGTCATTTCAATTATCTTGGGTAAGGCACCATAATAGGAAAAAAGCTGGTATTATCTGTTCCAACAATGTTTTTACTACGCAGGTTGCTTTCTATTGGCTAATATAATACCATACAAGGCATTCTGAATCAACAAATCGTCCATTTGCATAGTCATAATGAGCACTTTCAATATATAAAAAAATCTTAATAAGAATGTTATTAAAAGACAAAGCCATATTTTATCTTATTAACACTTGAAACTACATTTCATTACTGCATACACAAGGCAACCTACCCCAGGAGAGAACCAATAAAATACTTGAAACATTGGCAATTCAATTAATGCTATGGCCCCATCCACACAGTCAAGGCTACCATCTTGACCCTTCCCATGAAAGCCAGTACCTGTGCCATTGACCTTCCCTCCAGCCCCGGAGAGGAGGGTGAATGCAGCCACAGACCTTGAGTCAACACACATCTTCTCCACCAGATGGCATGCAAGATCACGCAAACTGTCAAATTTCACACTGAGTAGTTTTTCGGCCCACTCACGTATTAGGCACGATGCGGCAGACACCACTTCATCCTCAGAATGGGATGGGGAATACTAAAAAGAATGAAAAAGATGTCAAATTGTGAAAGAAAATATTTTTACATAAATATTTGTTGTAATTAAATAGTAAGTTAGAAAAGAAGCTTATCTGATAACAATCTGATAAAACATTCTGATATAATTTTTGTGTCACAAAGCTTGTTTTACCCAGCTTTTCACACTCAGATACAATCTTAATAACAGTAAAGCAGAACACGCATTTTTGCACCAAAGAGGACACAAATGAAAAATATGCCAATGACGTACCTTGTGTTCACCCAAATCCGGAAGCAGTGGTGGCTGCAACTTCATCCGCTTGCGCATGCCTGAGTAGCAGTAACGAGAGTTGCCACGAGTGCCCAGTCGACGAGGCCGGACACATGGGAACACTTGCTTCATCACTTTGCCAAAGTCAGCATTTGAAAGGGGCTTCATCTTATTTTGGGAGCAATATTCCCTGAAATATAAAAGAATCTGTGAAGGATGTGTATGCAATATAACAATTAATAATAATAAAGAATATGTAATATTAATAATATAATTACAAAAACGATCATTATCATCATCATCAGCAGCAGCATCACAATCATCAGAAAAAATAGGTTTTTGTATTGTAGGGGAAAAATATTTTTACTTATTTAAAAGTATAACGTACAGGTACTCATCATAGACATCTTGCTTAGGCAATGATACTTCTTGATCTTCTTCCAAATGAGTTTTAATCCACGTTATAGTTTGCTGTATCTCGAAACGACTTCCCAATGGATTTAGTGGCCTTTAACAAACATAAAAATATACATTAATAGGGAGGATTACAAACAAGCAGGTACAAATTGGTAAGAAGATTTCAATTTAGGAAAGGCTATGGTAAAATAAGAATGTAAAAATTGCCCCAAGCCATACTTAACCAATTGCATACTTCCATGTGGAATATGATTGGTAATTTTTTGTTTGAAAAGAGGAGAGAATTCATATAGAAATTGTGCAAGAGCGATTTTCAGTAATGATCAATTCCGATTCTCGAAACTGATCAATTCAGTTCCGATTTTCGAAAGCTGCAAAAATTTAACATTTTTTCCACTCCCTTATTGAACTGCATTATTGAGGATGAGTGATATTTTACTTTATCGCCCTTACTTTGTAAAAAAAAGTATTGTAATCCTGCGCCAGAAAATGTCAATTTTCAACCCAATAT